TTCCTGTCCAGCCCATTCCCAGCATCCTGAAGGACACACCTGGATGTCACCCTGTTGTTCAGCTCTCAGGATGAAGCATGTGGAGGGAAGTAACAGCATGATGGCTGAGGGCAAATGCGAGATCATTTGTAGGCAAAAAAGTCTTGTTTTATTCACTTAAACGGGAGAGCATTTCCAATAGCTTATAGCACTTTACTGAATTAATGTGGAGAATCACTGAAAACTAAGTTAACACTGACTATAAAACTATGGTGTGGCCTTTGTGTTTTTTGGTTCAACAGAACAGATTTTTGCAGGATTTGCATTGGCAATAAAGCCCAGTTTCTCACTCGGCTGGTAGTGTAGAGAAATAAAAAAGGAGTCATGGAAACTTTACCAGAGGTGAGATCAGAAACGTTCCTGTGATAAGTTCTTCTTTCTGTACCTTCGCCAGCTCTGTTTTGGTAACAGAACAGTTATGGTGGTATGAGTATCATGGGTGTGCATTTGAGAACACCAAGATAAGACAAGAATCTGAAGATAAGCGAAACCTTCCTTTCCATGTTCGATTAAGGAAGGAAATACCATGGCAAAACTACTTATTTTATTAAAGAATTTACTAAAAATCTAAGCAAAAAAACAACAACTCATAAAACACTCTGTATATTTGATATTTAGGTTTTCAAAACACTTTTTCATGAGGCCAAAATACAGTGTGTTCTCAGCAAAGCAATTGTCATAGACTTGGCCTTAATGGAGTAAAACGTCCTGTAAATCAATGTTTATTATCAACTCTCTGCACCTTTGAAAGCCTACTATTAACAAGGATCAAGTAACAGACATGTATTCCCTAAAAAAACCTTGTGCAGGTGTTTGAATTTTGATGAAGATGAAGGAATATGCACGATGCCATGATGAGTTCTTCCCAATTTCTAATTGTGCTGTTATTTACACAAATAGAAAGTTCTAACAAATTGTATAACGGGGCAAAATTAATGTAACTGTTGTAATTAAATTGTCTTACATTTAACCTCCATGAAAGATCATTGTTTTTTTAATTACCCAAGACTGCACAGGTTCACCATACCAGGTTTTACACAGCGGGCTTTTCTTTTGTTGAATAACTCTCCTGTAGGTAACAAGCATCTCTGCTCGCTGGCTTTGTTGTGATGTGCCGCTAGATTTTTTAATTTTCTTCTGACATTTTCCAAATGACAGCCACAGCCAAGGGTCTTTATCGTGATCTAGTGTCTGTATTCTTTAATCTCGCCTTGTAAAAGGATTAGATTAAACCTGCCTGTCGTGTTCTACCTTTTTGTGAGCTGGCTGAGGATTGGGGGTTTCTAGGAATTACTCTGGGTATCTGAGCAGAAGCACAACGAGCAGAATTGGCAGCGGTTTACTGCTCATTTCCAGCCCCACTGCCATTCTTATGAAGGGACAGCCATTAAACTACACAACAATTAGCAATTAACTCAAATCTCTCCGTCATGGATATACATTACTCTCATGGAATGTCCACATAATGGGAAATCTGCTTAAGCCACTTGGATCACATCCCATAACATAATACTAACATTCAGCATTAGAGCTTTCGTTCATGAAGACATATGGCACGATGAATATGATGATGTACAAGCGGTGATGTAGCTTGTGTCATAGCCACCTTCATTTCTCAATTGCCCAATTGAGGCACCAGACGAAATATCTAACTGAAAGATGTGTCAACCAATAATACATATTACTATAACCATTCCTTTCAAATTAAGATCAACAATCTATGTCTGGATAACAAAAGGCACGTCACGTTTAATGTTTCATACAATTTGTCTTGTATTAATGGGTCCTCTTCTTCATACACTTGTCTCCAAAATCAACACAGCACAGAAGTAAAATAGATGCTATCTTTGCATTCAACAAAAATGTTGAGATGGAGAGATGCCAGCTCTGATCAGTTTCCCTTTGCTTCAAAGTGAAGGTTTCTTTAGCCACATTGGGCTGGCTAATAATCCTCTAGTAAGGGAAATAAAGAGGGCAGATTCTTCGGGACTGGTGGGTACATATTTAATTCACAACGATTCACAATATATTTTAGCTTTTAATAGAATTCCAGGGCTTCTAGATTTAACTTTCTTCTTCATAATGAAAAAAAAAATCTAATAATCTGTTTTTTTTCATAGCGACATTAACCAGTTTATTATAGAATTCAATTACCTTTTCGAAGGCAATACGAAGACATAGAAAAACAGCAAGGTTCAACGCAAGTGCACACTGTATGCAGGCATGATGATGACTGCTGTGTGTTTATACCATACATTACCCACCCAAGACTATTTCAAGCCGGATAAACAGCGAGAAGTTTGATCTATGCAGAAGAGCCTGTTTTAAAAATATTCTATTCACCTGCGATTTCGGGTAGCAATCATTTCAAGACTATTTGACTACCCAAATTTATTAGTGCTCTTTTAAGACACCTGTTTTACATACGGAACACGAAACAGAGCAATAAACCCTATGTCAAATAGCCCAGTACACTGTAAACCTTCCAGTGTACAACTTTCACAGCCAGTGCCTTCAGACCAAAGTAGCTTTCAGTCTGAGATAAGACCTCATTTTCTTCCACATTTTTTCTCCCCGAGGACGAAACACAAGAACACATTCATCTCCAGTCGGAATAAAGGAGCAATTGTTATCACCTGGCGTTCAGCTCCTTCCAGCTTCGCCGATGATCATTAGAATTATTGGCTAGATTTGCACTGAAAAACTGTATCCAATAGTTCAACACGTAAGTTTGGCGCATCAGCTGTTACACTGCTGCTACCCCCAAGCGGTATCAATAGCAGAAATAAAACGTACCTGCAAATCCGCATAACAGTGTCAGTGACAGCAAGGTGCCAAGTTTCCTACAAGTCACCGTCTCCATTGCCAGAGCCTAGCAGGCGCTGTTGGGTACAAAGCGCTTTTATGTCCAAATGTATCGCCTCTCAGCTGAGTATTTCCAGTGTATCTTTCCGTCAGTTCTGGACTGCAGGGCAGCAGTTTTGGAAAGTTTCCCCCTGGAGAGCCGGGCAGTGCAGCTGGCAGGAACGGTGAGTGCGGAGCCCTTCAATAACACGGGAAGAGAGAGAAAGCGCTCGGGCTGGAAAACATCCCGACGCCCGTAGCGCACGCTGACATTGACAGAGCGCTCCCGGTGGTGCGCTGTCCTGTAACAGTGCACCCTGTCAGACAGGCAGCGGGCGGCCAGAGACTTTTCCGTCCCGTCTCCTTGAGTTTGTGCTTTGCCTCGCTTTCTCCCTGTATACTCTTCAACCCAGCCCGCCCGGAGACTACAGCCCGCTAGCGCTCACAGCCCACCTGTCTGACTGCGGTCGGACTCTCCATAGCGCCGCTCGTCCAATTCTCCCCGGCACCTGTTCGCCAGGCACCGCCTTCAGCAAAAACCGGACCGCCTCCTCTCTCCCACAGGTGCTCGGAGATCACCCCGCCTCCCCAGCCAGCTCGTGTCTTCGGTTTTCATCTTTTTCCCAGCTTATTTTTTTTTTAAATGCTCCGTTTACAATGCAAGCAGAAAGAGATTTAACAGATCGCTCAACAACGCAAAAAAAAAATGTAGCACTGGCAGCAGCAGTAGCAACGTCTCATATTAAAATAGGAACGTTAATAAGACCTAAAAAGGAGAAAAGCTTTTTTTTTTATTATTTCTGGTGCATACTGAACATATGTTAATAATATCACCATAATTTTATTTTTGAGATAAATGCTTCACGTTTATATAAGCTCAAGACGCAAGAAGGCTCTGAAGTCGAGACGCACGCCTTAACAGAGCCTATTTTTGTAAGCAGTGAAGACAGACTGTTGAATTAAAGTTGGGCATTTTAAATCGTTTCTGCTCTTTTCACTTCACGCTTTTCCTTCCCCGTGGTCATGGCGACCATGGATTGAAACTTTAGCCCGATTCATGGTAAAAGACAGACCCGTGTGTTTAAGTACGTAAACCAGCATTTGATAGATGTGGACAGTAACGAGGAACACCTGACAACATGTGGTTGGTAAATGTGACGGTTTATATCTACCACAACATTTCGTGTTCGTTGCTCTTGCTTCAGTTGATCATATTTGAAGCTTCAGATCAAAAGCTGTAAAAATTGCTCAATCACAAGCTTGACTGCTTCTCTGGTTCATGAAGTAAAAATAAGTTTTATTAAAAGGGCACAGTGGTTAGCATTGTCGCCTCACAGCACTGGGGCTCTGGGTTCAATTCCTGGGAGTCTCTCTGGGTGGAGTTGGTATCGTATCCACCCCTTTGCACAGGTTTCGGCTCCAGTTTCCTCCCACAGTCCAGAGACATGCTGGTCCTGGTTTGAGTGGGTTTCTGTCTGTCTGACTGGCTCTGGCTCCCCTGTAACGTGTACTGGATGAAGAGGTTAGAAGATGGATGGATGATGTTAATAAATGTGCTCAATAACTATGAAGAATGTCAATGGCACAGCTGCTTGTTATCATTTACCTTTGAATCTTGACTTGTATCGGCAACAATTACGTTGATATTCTCATTCTTATTCACTTACACATTTATTTGTTATTTTAACCAGGACATGAGGTGCTGCACTGTTACCTGAAAAGTTTAGGAGAAACAAAAAAAAAAAACAATCACATGCTTAAAGATACTTGGAATCAGGGCAGTACCCTAGAGTGCAGCAAGTCAGGAGCACAGAAAAGCAGTCAACCCGAGGTGAAGCTCAGAGCGATCATTTATGATGAGGATGCTTCTGAAGACTTCTGAAGGCCAACTTTGAGTTTAATAAGCAATTGAATCTCAGCTGTAACGATTAATCAATGGTGACAGGTTTCTTAATACAACACACGCTACCTATGCATGTCAAATTATTCTCAGTTTTGATCTTATATAGCCTAATCCAAGGCATTGTAAATGGTACAAGTCTCTTCAACGCCTGTTCTTTCTCTTTTGCTTTTTTTAATGTACTGTTCCATCAGAGCTTTCCAGGTGTTTTCCGAGAGAGCGGAACCTTTGTGACTTCTCAGAGTGCAATATCCCCAACACTCATCGCAGCAGGGAAAGTGGAGAGAGGAGACAGGCTAGCCCGCAGAGGTGAATACCTTTCCACTACTGCTTCTGGGGTCTGGGTAGGTTGCCATAGAAACGTGGCTGAAGTTAATGCAGCAAGACTGCTCAATTATTAGAGGCGGATGAGCTCACTTCTGTGATTTAATCTAAGCTTATAATCCGAATTTTCTGAATTTGCACTCCAACTAAGAGTGAGAGAGGGAGAAATGGAGAGAATGAAGAGAGAGATGGAAAGGTAAGGAAGCAGGTTGAAAGCGACTGCTCCTAGTTCTGGTCACTGAGGAATTAACACAGTTAATACAGGTGGTGAAACTAATAGCAATAGATTTTTTAAAAATGAAAGAAATCGGTAAGGACGCTTTATTTTTGTAGGAAGGTCTATTTGGCTTTATTAGAGAGCTCTACAAGCAATACACCCATGCAGGCAGAGTTCTTCATGGTGCCCTTTCACTAGGGTTAGTAAAAGCTTGCCCTCCACTGCTATTCAGTCATTTCACATTCCTAAAGAACGGAGTTGTGTTCATAACTGCCAGATCTTCTGTTGGTTCACATCAAGAGCCCAGCACGGCCCACAACTGTCACTTAGAAGCACTGCTTTCCGCATCACCATGGGTCTGTTCGAAGCTGTAAGCAGATTAAAGCCAGGGATCTGTTTCTAAGAACCAGAACCGGCACGTCACTGCGGAGATGATGCTGTGGAGGAGCAGGGGTGAGAAGGGGAAGGATGGTTTAGGAAAAACGATGGCAGGATTTTGAGCTGATCTGTACCCGAAGCTGAAATGTTGTGTTTCTGTTTCTTTTCTTCTCTTTTCAGCTTGCAATGAACCTGTACTTGTTCCATTGCAGACTAAAACCTTGCCTGGCTTCACAAGAAGTGTCCATTGAAATATTTATGCCGACTAGGTCTGTGATTTTCACAGTACAGCTGTATAATAAAAACATAGAAAGATGGGGGACTGTCCGTGGGGTTAAGAGGTAACCGACCTGGGTCCAATTGATCCAGACCTCTGCTTCCCGACTGCAGCAAAAGGAAGGAGAGGACATCTGTGGGGGCTTCCTGCTGGATAATGTGGGATGCTTCCTGTCCTATCACAGGAACAGGAAGTTAATAATTGAGTGGGGGAAAAAAAACTCAAAATGAATTTTTCATCCACTCCTTTATTTCCCTCCCGTTTTCTCTCCCTCCCCCCTAAAACATTCTTGGTTTTGAAATCCAAATAAAAATAGACAGCTTTTTGCATTTGTTTTTTTTTTTCATTTCCGAGGGCACACATTTGAATTTAGGTCAAGGCTTGGAGAAGCCAGAAAGAAAAGGGAAAGAGGCTTCTGCAGTGGAGCCTGTGGTTCTGTAGTGACAAGCAGGCTGAAAGGCACTTTTCCTCCTAGACTGGATCTTACAGCTGTGCTGTATTGAGGTTCCCACCCAGGTAAAGACATCCCAAAATCCTTTAAGAAATGGATTGATGGAATTCTTGAGTCATTAGGCTACTAGCAATCAGAGCAGTAAGGTGGATTCTTTGGCCCGGCTTTTTTCCAACCTTTTGTGATCGTATTCAGAACTGGAAAGACGCCTGTTTTTGGACACTGCAGATAATGCAAACCGAAGGAGCAAGCTGACAGCCAGAATTCTGAGCTCAGCACTACAGCGTCTGAAATGGATAAGAATAAGAAATTGATGGCAACATGAAATTGGAGACGTTTATGAGACTCACAGCCTTTCTGGGTTGCAATCATGGAGAAATGTCTTTCTGTATTCAGGACATGCATTTCAAGAAATTCATTTCTCTCATTCTATATACATCCCAGCTTTGTGTGATGGGAGGACTGGCCCTTTCGTGTTGATCTTATTCGAGACTACGTTTTATATGTCTAGAATGGTATCACTAACTTGGCCTATTTTGTGCCGGACATCATCCCCTGTAACACAGCTAAGGGAACCTTCGGCTGCAGATCTGCATTAGCTAATTAAAATGACTTTTGTGGTAAATGATCTGATTAATTCATTGTAACAGGGGGCCCTCAAATCCTAGCTAAGGATTTTTATTTTGCTAACAGAAACACTTTGGTTCCATTTTCTGACTTCTTAGGGAAATCAGAAGCTGGTGACAAGTTTAAATTATTAATTGCTCTTCCCTGATGTTGAAAATAATGCACAGCTTTCACCAGGGCTGCATGCCTCTACACCCTGCCTTGTCACTCAAGACCCTGCTTGTATAAGCAGTAATTGAAATTGAAGGTGCATTGTTTTTTTTTATACCCATAACCAGTATATATCATACATTATATTTTTATCCTACAATGAACGCAACCCCATTCCTGCCACGATTATTACCTTCACTTCAGACAGATGAAGATCATGATTTAAATGAATAATCATCCCACAAAGGCCTTTGATTACCACTCTCCACTAAATACCCACCGTGGCAATGAGAATTATACATTTCATTGGTATCGGTGTCATTTCTTTCCAACAGTTCACATACTTTTTTAATACCACATTGAGCAATGGTAAGGAAGTATTTTAAGTGATTCTATAAGGATGTGTCACAGCAATGGATCTAATCTCATCTTTTGGAGAAAAAGTAATGTTGTAGGGCCCGGCTACTCAACCTGTACCCTCTCCAATCCACTTCTTTGCCCAGCCATTTAACTGTCATGCAGATCCCGCTAATTAGCAATTAAATAATTAAGGAGATGGTTACAGTACAATTCTGCAATGGAGAGACCTCCATGTAGTTTGAGTGTTGTTCTTGAAGTGTAATAAACATAATTTCTCAAAAATAAGGGAAAATGCTGACACACCGAAAGGGAACAGTCCTTTTTGTCCTAACAGAGGAACATCTGAAGAGAGCATAAGAAAAGCTCTAGTAATAATTCAAGGCTTTGCTTCCACAGAAATCTGGACTTGTCTCACATTAAAATTTTCCATTTTCATAAATGTCAACTACAGAGTTAGCACAGAGCCTAGGTTAATTATGCATTACAGCCCATAATATCTTCTTTAAAAGGAGAGAAGATGAAGGAGGTTCAATTAGAACACACAATGCAATTCCTCTCTAATGTTATGAAATGGACCAGTGATGGAACCTGTTCATTTCAAATCACAGTGTGAAGAGACAAGACAGAAAATGGCTGTAACTACACTTTCACAAGCATTAAGCGTCATAAAAATGAGGGAGTGCACAGCACTTGTTCCAAAGGGCAATCATAAACAGCCTGCGTTATAAATTAACATATAAAGCTTTGCTTTCTTCTTAGTCACCAGCTCTACCTGTTAAAATGATACACGGGTTCACACAGGTGTTTGACAACTTGTTAAAATACTACAAAGGATGAGATCCTCTTTTAAACTGTATGCAATTTATACAGCTGCTGGTCTTATAAAGTTACACTGCCATCTACTGACGCACAACCACAAAAGTCCTTATAAAACAATTTATGTTTCTCCTAAACCCAATTCAATTTGATAAATAAAAATAACTTTGCTTTAGCCTGTGCAGAGAAAAAAAAATCACCTAGTTCTTTTTGTAAGGTTAAGAAAAGAACCAGAATATATTCGTTAGCATATAGACCATCCTGCAATTCTTGATCATTGGCTGCAGGCGGTGTCTAGCCATTAAAACATTTGACTTTACAATATTTGACATTGTAAGTAAGTTGAAGATAGATCTGCCATATTCACAAGCAGCTATATAAGCAGACTATAAATACATTGCCTTCTCTGTACTCATTTTTAGCCAATAACACGAGAACAAATTAATTAATTATTTATCGGGAAGAGCGATTACATGTTATATTGTAGCCAAAAAGGTTTTAAACTAAAATAAAATTAGTTAAAATTTTAGTAAATTAAAAAAAAATCAGCTAAAGGTTGAGTTTTGAAAGATTGCCCAAGGATGTTGAGGAGAACATCTGACTTTCAAACATTCACAAATCAAATTTGGATTTGGAATGCAATCAGATGTTTCTTTTAAGATGTCATTGTACTGACAACTAGCTGCCCAAATAAAATGTGTGAAAAATGTTACAAATACAGCTAAGATGAAAAGAAAAATGCAAAGGTTGGAAAAGTCAGACCAGGAGATAAAAACAATTATAAACCACACTGTGGACCTCATAGTTTTAATAAATGCTACAGATTTATTTCTTACATTAAAAAATGACACTATAAAATGTCTTAAATAACTGTTGAATATGGGTTTTCTGCTTATAAGACTTCAACAACCATTGAGAAAATGAAAAAAAATCCAAACCAACAAAAAGGGTCATTTTCATATATGTAAGAGTGTTTTAGTTAACTTCAGTGGATTTAAGTGTTATGCACTTTACCTGTGAATATTTTCACAGACTATCGAAAAATAAATAAAGGACAGGACTTTTCTGCACTCAAAAGGAACTACCAAGTAAATTATATTAACATTCTATGCCTTCCCCTCATTTTTCCCCAATACTGCAGGACAATGTCCAGAACAAATCGCTTGTTAGGACAATAACACTTTGTGAGACATGGCAAGAGATCCAGTCATGTCATTCTGTAATGTAATTTGGTTTTTTTTTTAAGTTTCTTCTACCTTTCAAATTATAAGTGTAAAGACAATATCTTTTAAAAACCGTGAGCGGTTTCATCAGTTACAAACATCCCGACAGCTTCAAACAGTCCATTTCAACATCAGGCAACAATTTTACAGCAGTTGCACAATCTTGCAATGCTGTACTTACATGTATGAAAAAACCTCCCAAAAATAAAGTATTTTGTTTTTTGGCATTTACCACACTGTTAAGCCTGGCAGACATTTTCGCTGAAGAAACTTAACATCTTTTATCTGATTTAGAAACCAGCTCTTTAGGAACCAAGGACATTAATTTCACAGTAAAAAGAAAATGTATGCTCCCCAAGAAAGGGGAAGGAAAGTACTAGGATGATTTCCTTTCACTCTTTCTTAAGAGGGTTCAAATTTGGTGTGTTTCACCTGCAGCCGAGAAGCCTCCGTATAATTGATATTGCGGTTTAAATCTAGTGTTTTTGGTTTCTAATTCATGCTCTCAAAGTAAGTTACAGGTTGGTTCGAAAACAAAGAATTTGATTTTCCACGATTTTCTCAGCCAAAAAGCATGAGGGGTTGTTAAAGCACCCACCTCGTTAATCTCTTCGTGCCTGGACCTCCCATTAGCAAATAAAATGAGAAAAACAGTCTCATTTCTCATTATTACAATGCAATAATTTTGAAATGGGAAGAAGCTGCGGATCTTGAAACTCAATTGACTCCGAAAGCTTTTCATTCTTAGCAGGAATCCAAAACTCAGCCAGTCAGGTCTAGCAGCTCAGTCAGCTCTTCTTAAGTCCTCAAAACATGAAACTCCCAAAACCTATTTTGGAAGTTTCTAAAGAATGTATTTTCTGAAAAGAGTGCAATCTTGGGCATTGTTGTGCATTTCACGACAAAAAAACCTACAAATCAACAAAAAACCTACAGGCCACATTTACATAACTTTTATCTGGTATTGATGGAATGGATAATTTACCTGTGGCTGCATAAGAAAGGTGTATTTAGCTTTGAGCAGATATTTAACAAAGAGCATTTGGATAACTTTAAGACTATTTTGTAAAAAGAAATATCCAAATGAAAATACTACCTAGCAGGTTAGCATCAACAGTGGATGGGTGCAGCTGCGGTCCTTATCAGTAGAGGGCACTGGTGTGTCAGTCATTAAGGCCTGATTCGGTGTTCATAACGTTTATGAAAAAGAGTTTAAGGCCTAGAGCGTTGCCCATCATTCCAATAACTGCTTCAGCCACTGCTCAAGATTGGATGGACAGTGCAGGTGGCCAAAACATCAACACTATGTCATTAAAACAACATCCACAACCATGCAGTGTGGGCAACATACTGTACATACACCTGTAGGGTCCCACGTACACTAACCTATACACAATCCGATTTAACAAGGACCCACTCTTCTGAAGCTCAGATCTGTGTCCAGCGCATTCAGCGAAAGAGCTCAAAACTCCAAACCAAAACCACGTTTCAAGTGGCCATTCTTAACCTGAAAAGTCGTAAGACCAGCAGGAAATATTTTTCAGATAATCGCCACAGCTCAGTACTGCTTTGGAACTTTGTTGTACTAACAATGGGGAAAAAGAAATGCTCACCAACTTAAAATATTTTGAACATCCTGGTAACCAGCCTGGGAAGCAACAAGGTTAGCAGAAAGCTAGACAAATCTATCAATTGGCAATGAATTCATTTCTTCATACCTTTACCACCTTAAAGTTACGGCTCTATGCTATGCATCACAAATCATTTATGAAAATGGTGTGGAACAACCCTTAGAAGCTTTATTATAATGGCACTTAGCATTCTTCTTCATGACAGAGGATAGAATCTGGATTGAGTCTACCCGGAGACATAAAATCATGTACGAAAGAAAGATTGTACATTTTTCAGCTGTGCACATACACAGGCTCCGCATTACTGAAGCCGGAAAATAAAAACCCATATACCCCGAATACAAAACAAGGTTCTTTCAAATAGTTTTTTCCCCACATCTTGACAATCCTGCATCAGCTTGGACTGCACGCTGAGCCAAATCGTGCCGTTTCTAGCAGAATCAGAAGTTTCTCTCCATCATTTGTGAATGGTCTAGCCAGCTTGGTCAGAACTGCAGGAAATGAATCATGAAAAGAACACAGAAACACGCTGCACGTGTCCATGATCAGCGTGATCCTTTCAGAAAAAAAGGACTGCTATGCCACGTGGTGATGAACTGCGAAACCCCAAGGAAACGGGGAAAATAGTGTCCACCAAACAGCCGAAGGGTTCAGATTTTAATTTCTGCCAGCTTGCATCCTGTACTGACAAACCACTAAAGGTGTATCGGAAATGCCTACGGATGTTTACTCAAAACAGAACTTAAAAGGGCAAAAAAATTGCAAGTCTGCTGTTCCTAAAAGGTGAAAAGAATTAACCGACTGTATGGAAGACTAATCTATTTCCCTACATTATATCTAGAAAAAGCCAGCAATGTTGTACTGGACTGAAAAAAAAATAAGACAAAGCATCTCTAAAACAGCACGACTATGGGGAGCATCTCCTAACAGTTTCGACCCAAAAATAATCAGGTTGCCTGTATTTACGACCCGCCGGACACATCGTCACGACCCTGGGGGAGGCCGAGCGGTGCTCCTTCTCTTCCAGAGCTGCCACGTCACAGAAAGCTCGCCGCCGGCCGGCCGACGTGCAACGCATAACTCGCACCCACCACGGTCGGTTGCTCATTTATTGTGACATCGACAATGTAAACAAATACAAGAAGGCGGCTTGGAAAAGACAATACTAAAATAAGATACTGTGCTTAAAAAAAATAAAAAAAGATTTTATTACAGTTTATCAAAATGACATGTCTGGAAATGCTGGAATGTTCACACAATTTCAAGGCTTGAGATTTCAATATATATTTTATATATATATCACTATACTGTATATCCCTCCACTTGTTCAGTTACGGTGGTCTTGCTTTTTTGCCTCTCCTTTACCTTGGGATCTTTGCTGGCACGTGAGGTGAAGCTTAGCTTCAAAGAAAAGAAAAGGCAGTTTTTTAGGACTGGCTGAAGGGTCACCCTCCATGTAGTGGGAACAGCCCCACTTTCCTCAACTCGCCCCTTCTTTAGAGAAACACACACCACCTCCCTGACAACGTGATGGAAGTAGCTGCAAAGGGGGGTGAAGAATAGAAAGAGGCCCATCATGGTTCGTTTACATCCTCAAGTCACTGGGAAAAAAAAAAAACAACAACAACAACAACAAAAAAAACAGGCCGGGGATTTAAAGTGTCTCCTTTTTGTTAAACTTTAAAGAATAGCCAACGGCAATTTCTAAGCACTCAACCAAAGAGCCCGCAGAGAGGAAGTCCAGCTCCACCTCGATAAATTTAATATAAATAGCCAGGCGGGGGGAGCCCCCGCTGCAGTTCGAAAGGAGGAACTTCGTGACGGCCGACGACTCCCCCCTGCTGTAGTACTTGCCCGAACTCTGGAAGTGCTGAAACAAGCACTGCTGTAGAGTCCTGTCCTCGGCAATGCCGAGGTAGCAGTAAGTCACTTTGGGAGACGTCTCCTCTTCCGGCTCCTGCGGCTCGGACTTCTCCGAGCTTTTGTCAGGCTCGCCCGGATCTGGGGAGGAGGAGGCCTCGTCGTTGTCGTCGTCGTCGTCGTCATCGCCGCCGCCGTCGTTGTCTCCCGATTTGGACGTCGAGCTCGGGTCCACCTCCTCGTAGCCTATAGCGTAGAGCCCGTGGGTTTTGGGGATGCCTCCCGGCAAAAGGTACTGTGCTCCGTTCCCGCCCCCCGCTGCCCGGGACTGTGCAATGGGTATCCAGTCCACCTCCATGTGCAGTTCCAGGCAACGGGCCTCGCTTATGGTGATGTCCAAGAATTTGTAGTAAACGTTTTTCCAGTTCATTTTCTGCACTTTGGTCATGATGACCCGCCCCTCCGTCTTCTCGGGGTTGAAATACTCCCGCAGGCGTTTCCCGAGGGGCACCTGGGAGCTGATCTCGGCGTAGTGGTAGCGGATCTCCTCCCGCCAGCGCGTGTTGTAGCCCACCCCAAAGATGGCCAGCTTGTTGGAGAGGTGCAGCCGGGAGAAATCCGTCCACGTCTGGAAGTGCTCCCATTTGATCTGCACGGACTCCAGGATGCGCATCACATTCTGCATCACTTCCTGCCTCCTGGAGAGAGACGGGAGATTCAGGTCAGCTTTGCAAGGGCACACAGGGGCCACTGGAAACGGGGATTAGAAATATCAACAACTTCTTTAACGTGGTGATAAACGCACATGCAGGATCACCAAGGCATTCATACATTTTAGGGAGCCACCTAAGCAGACATGCAGCTCAGTGGAAAATAAATCCAGCTGTCACTGGGCCTCTAAAGAGATCTGTTCTCCGTAACACCACAGGTCTGAATCAGTTTATTATTGACCAGAAAGTGCTTATTTTCTTACTCACTGGAACGTGGCACCTATCAAATGATCAAGTTGGTCTAAATGTAAATCCTTTTACCTGCAGAATGGTATATCTTTTGATTTTTAATATGAAAAGACCTCAGCCTCTGCGGTGTTTCTAATTTACTGGCCCCCCCAGATGTTCAATTAGGCTTCTACCAAGCTTTCACTGCTAATAACTGCTTTGTTCAACCTATCCAAGTCTGTTATTTCTTGGGGAATATTTTTCAGTGTGCACTGGATTCTCTTTACCACTCAAACGCTGCTCGTTTGTTACCTGCTCTGGACTGTTTCGGCTTTACTTAGCAAGTCAGCTTTCCAAGACCTAAGCATCTTATCAGTTCTTGTGGTGTTAGCACTTCCAACCCACATGCATTTCAACCGAGAGTTTCTGACCACAAGAAATGTCTAACTCTGCAATCTTCCCACCTTCTGCTAAAGATAGACTATAACCTTCCTAGAGAGTCCTTTAGTCCTCTTCTCCACTGCTCAATACAATACCCAATTATCTAAAATACTGCCTTCTCGAACAATGTCAAATGTTCATATGTTATTTCACAATAAAATATATTAATAACCAGTTGCAGAGTTCAGAATCAGCAAAAATGTTGGAACAGGTAGCAGCAGCTCAAATACAATCTCACCTCGTATTTAATGAGCTCTTTTAATCCTTTCAGTCAGGGTTTAGACAGACAGCGCAGAAACAGCTCTTGTTAAACTTAATGGTTTTCTGATCGTTTTTAGCCGAGTTGATTAATTTTCTTGCCCTTCATATTTACGTGCAGCTTTTGATAGTCTTAATGAACTGGTTGTAAAATTATCAAGGGATCAGTGGTCCTTCACTGTCTGGCTCCTGTTTTGCTACCAGTGCCCAATTTATGAATCTTGGTTGCTCTAAATCTAAATGTTGTGAGACATACCCGGGATGTTCATCAAGGATTAGTGCCAAGACCATTATTTCACAGAACCTGCATGTTGCCTTTTAGATCAATCGCTGGAATGGACTTGGGATCTACGGCCATGCTGATAAAACATATTTGCAGACCAGATTATTTACCGAAATAATTGTTTCTCGTACACGTGTCTACTTGACATTCAAGATATGATTTCAACACATCTTATACTGAACTGTGACGAAGGCGAGATTTTGCTCATAGGCTTCCATCATCAGCGAGCCTGGTGGAAGCTGGTGGAATTGAAATTAGATTGTTTTGGAAGGCAACGGGTTACACCAGAGCTCATTTATCATTGCTAGTCCTAAGGGGTGCATACACTTATCCAACCCATTTCTCTAGGTTGTCATTTGTAATTTCAGAAAGTTTGTTTTTCATTTGGAGGTTATGGGTTACAATGTATAAAAAAAGGTCAAATTAATTCAGATTTTATGTTAGACCACAAAATGTGTTACTTTGGAAAGGGGTATAGTCTTTCTATGGGCACTGAATCTACTGAAAAGGCTGAACTAATTAATTTAGAATCCATAAGACGTAACTGATCAGAGCCACCATATACAACCTGCGATAAAAAAAAATATCGAAAATCTATTGCAAAAGGATCAGGCAGGTACTGAAAAGGTTTGGAAAAAGAGATCAATGCTAAGTGAGCATCCTGTTATTCATTCACAGACAAGTGGAGACAAGACAAGAATGTCTACTCATCAGTACTTACTGGAGTTCTTCTGAGGATTCCTGCCTTAGCTGTAGTGTTCTCTTCTTAGAAAACGTCACTTCCTCTGAAACAAAGAAATACATGTTTTAATAAATATTGGAAATCGATAACAGACAAAAACAGAAAAAAGACTCCTCTTCAGAGCCGTCCCTTAAGTCATTTACAAACGTTTTGAAAGTTCCCTTTTAATCTCTTTAAAAAAATGTCGATCTTACAGATCTGTCAGTAATGCAAGCAGAACTCATCGGACACTGAAGGACCAAATCACACCGGAAGGGTACGCGATCCTTATTCTGAAAATAATACCCGCAAGAACTTCAAAATCCGTGCATATTTACATCTGCTTTCTGAAACTTTAAGGTAGGAGTTTACTGCCGTAACCGTTAAAAATAAAGTTCAAATGTTAAAATAACATACAGATTTAGTTATATTTTGGGCTAGGAAGTTGGTGATCTGGTTGAAGCTTCTGCTGGAATTGCAGGGTTCTCCATGTAGCCTGGAGACTACAGGTTTCACCTAGCCCCTTGCAGCCAGAAGAAAACATCTGAGAAATGTCTTCTACTGTCTGGACTGGGAGATCTCAATTTAGCTGAGATACCCTCAGCTCAATGTGCCGTGGCGTTCCCTTCCTTCCTCTGGTGGAGGACCGAGGCGCCTGTGATGGTATCAATGAGAACTGTGCCATGCAAAAGCTGCAGCTCTGCCACCTGCAACGATCAGGGAAACAACAGGCCTTTAAACTGCGCATGCATGTTGTCGGCAACTTCTGCGGGCTAAAGAGTTCATTGAGAATTCCAAAGTAGTCTTCCTAAATGAGGAAAAAGTTTATTATAAAGGCACTCGTTTTTACCGTTGTTCCCTGTATGCTTAGTGTTGTACCACTGCTCTGCGTTTTATCAAAGGTTACAAAAAAAAGCTCATATGTAATTATATACACGGCCTGTTGCCTGCTTATACAATTTGCTCCCTTAATCTCTTGTATGGCTTTGAAGTAAAAATCACTTGTAAGCAAGGTTTTAGGGAAGCACGCAGAAAATGTTTCATTGTTCAAATACTGAATCACGGTTTAATACCCTACAAAAAAAAACAGAAATTCACAATACACCTGATGTGGAAAGCAATTTGTTTTTATAGACACATAAGAGAAGAAAAAATATTGAACAAATCCAAGATAAACTTTCACAATAGTAATTACTACAGGGTGCTCTGTAAACTGATATTATACAAATACCACAGGGTAAAAAGTTACAATCCTGACAGTGTATAATTATAGACAGCCATTTGCTATTAATAGAATTCATTCTCAAACTGCTGCCAGATACTGGTGTGGTTCATCATAGTTTGGGATTATGCAATAAGATTAAAAGATATTACAAAATACCACAGATAAACTGTGATTACACATAAGGGGATCATAGACCATGCTAACGGTATTAGTCGTACCATCTTAATACAGTGAGAAACAATTTGTAGTCACCATACATAACGCGACACATCTCATCTGATGTCCATCAGTAAAATCTGCACGCAAGATGCAAGACACATTTCCTAAATGTCAGTAGCACCGCAGCTTCCAGCTGTTTCTGCCTCGTGTTTACCAGCAAACTGGTAAAAAATCTGACATTTTCTGGGTCCCGTAGTAGAAGAACAGGGTTTTTGGGGTGTGTTGTTTCTCCTTTCCAGCATCCACCCCCAGACCTCACAGCCCCCAGGGTGGGCCAAGGCCTCCGGTCCGCCTGCCACCTCTTCCTTTCTTCTCGGAGGCGGACTGCGGGCTGGAGCTCGTGTGCAGCTTCACTGTCCGGCTCTCTGGGCTGGGGAACTCGCCCGGCTCCTCTTGCAGCAGGAGTGCCGGTGGTCCATGTGGTTGGGATTCAACGACTCCTTGTGTGTCAATATCGGCTTCTGCCATCTCCACCGCCTGGAGATCTGAGGTATCTTTAGCAGCAGGTGCAGAGCGCGGAGCCAGTCTCCATCACAGGGCCTTCAGGCTTAGAGGCTCCCCTGTGCCACCCTGCCTCTTTATCACCCTCCACCGGGGCTGCTCTCCTTGTCCGCTCTCGTCTTTCCTCCTTTTGGTAACTGCTCTTTCCAGTTCCCTCTTCTTACACCGACTCTGCGCCGCTGTGCCGCGGTCCTCTTCTTGTACTCCTCGTACAGGCTCCTCTCCTTCAGCTCCTGGCGGTGTCCTGCTCGCCTGGACAGAGGCTCCCTGGAACCTAAAAGACAAGACAGGCCTCACTGTTAGGGTGAAGCGCAGTCTTAAAAACACACATTCAATTTAATTCAATTTATGTGACTGATATTATTTTAGAATTTATACATTTTCTTGTAAAATGTACAAGATCACCATACATACCTTTTTAAAGAGGGCGTGTCTGGAAGAAAATCATCCTCTTGAGATGGTAATGAAGCACAGCTGAAGGTGAAGAGGTAAGAAACCTTTCTGTGTAATAAATGTTGCCATGTGAAAGAGAATACTGCCCCCTATTGACAAACATTGAGCAGGAGAACACCTACTGTTCTTGCAAAATAGATTTATATTATCTATGTTGACACTACATATAATTGAATTGCTGTACAGATCACAGAAATAGAAAACATTATTAAGGACTTAGTTACAACCTGTTTTCCAGAAATCAAGACAGTCCAGCAACTGTTTGCTGATCAAATGCTGCTAAATTAAAATTAGTTTTTATATCCAAAGTCCCATTGATATTTTAACTTTTTTTCTAGCTTGCAGATGCGTACCATAATACAGTCTTGCTTTCCAGTTTGGAAAGGTCATACCAGCATAATGTTCAGAATTTCAGAGCGTGATGAAGAAAAACCAAAGCAACCAAACATAAGACACTTTATCGCTTAGCAGTTTCTTAAAGTCACAGAAATGCAATGGCTGGCAACTCAATAAGAGAAAATGCCTAGAATCAAGCATTTTAACTTAATTTGAAAACAGCATGTCATTTATGAGCGTGAAATCCATTTCATGCTGCAGCTTAGACATTGCTTGCATTGAGTGTATCACAAGCGAGACAGCCAGCACGTTTAAAAACCGAGATAGCACATGATCGCACATAATCTCTCCCCTGCCAGTCCCTGTGGAAGCAATCCATTCATTTTCCAGAATCCTCTGTGAAACAAAACCAAGCTGAAATCAGGCAGACCTGTCCTCAGGGTTGTCACAGCAATGCCAGATAAATGAACTTGATCAGGACACCATATTGCAACAAACCACAGTCTTTGTGTTGACTTTTTACGTGCTGATGCATTAAGAGACACTCCACAGTCCAAGGACACCCCTTAGAGAGTGCCACAGTTGAAAGAACTCAAGTGAACTGAAGTTATAAACGATGGCAAAAATCAAACTGATTAGCTAGTGTCGAGATTAAAAAACGAGAAAGGCATCACAAGCGTAACAAAACTCAGAGAGAAGAAACCTACACGTCATTATCAGACGCCCAGGGGCCTAATAACCCTCTCTATGCCAGGGATGAACGTGCATTCATATCAACTCATTTTGCAGAAATTAAGGAGGAAAGTTTCGGATCAAAAATAAATCAATCAAACCCCGATAGCCGGCACACTCATTATTTTTTTCACCCTGGGGCAGCAGTGGTTTTACCACCGCAGGAAAGATGACACTTGAGAGGATGCCATCTGGCCCATCTTGCTCATTTGGAGGTTGGGGGAGCTTAACGATCTAAAAATACCAGTAAGGCTCTTCTGGAGCGGCCCTAGCGAGTCAGCTCGAGTAACGTGATGTGACAGTGCATTTCCTCCGCACGCCGCCCGAGTGTCCTCCCGTGTCCCGGCTGCGGCGTTGACGCCACTCACCGGCCTCGGTCTCTCCTTCCTGGAAAGCCGCGAGGTCCTGGTTGCCCCAGTCCTCCTGGGAGTAGTCCTCCATGGTGCTGCCGTCGGACTCCATCTCCTGGTACAGCCCGCTGCTGTTGATGAGCACCGGCTGGCAGGTCTGGGAGTCCCAGCCCCCCTGGCCGAACACCTTCTCCAGCTGCTCGATGGAGTAGCTGCTCTTCCTCTTCCCCACGCCGTGCTCCTTCACCCGGCTGTAGCACCGCCGCAGCGTCTGCGAACACGCCGAGAGGGAGAGAGATGAGGCCAGCAGCGTTACCTTTCCCCCCAGGGAGGCATTGCCAGCCTCCGGCCACTTTTCCACTGCTTCCTGGGCGCCGCAGAGCCAGGCTTTCCGAGTCCCGCCTGGACTCCGCAACATGTCTCCTGGAAAGGCCTGCCTGCTTCTCCTATCCACCCCGTACAGCTTTCCTCGCCTTTGCCACTCGACCTCTTAGCTGAATCTTAGCTGGCACCCCATTCCTCGCTGTCTCTAGCTTGGGATGTCCTGGACATCTGGTCTCCTCACTGCCCCACGTCCTCCTGCCTGGCTGGCTTGACTAGTCGTGTCTCCTCTTTGCGGTCCAGCCTCCTGTCCACTGCTGCTCCCCTACGCCCTCTGGTGGGGAAACCAGCGACATGCAGTGAGCAGCTCTGAGAGCTCTCGGCCTGCCTCCTCAGACCTCACCAGCTCACACCGCACTAACACTCTACTGTCACTCCATCCTGCAGCACGTTGCACCGGGTGGCAGTAATACAGCCTACATCCAGCAAACTCCCGTATAGCAGCTTGTAAGCTTGAAAGTTGGGAGCTCTGTATTTACAATGCAGAGATTTTGCACTGCAATGCTTTTTAGCCACCTAGGTTACAAATGTTGGTGTCCTTCCAATTCATAGAAAGTGTTATTACTGATACTAAAACAGAATGTGGGAGCCAATATTACCTGAACTGTTAAGCATTAGGCTTGAATCATTTTGCCGTTCAGATATTTACAGGCAAGGAGGAAAGCAAACTGAATACTATAAAATAAACTGCTGGGATCTCTAATAATGGGGAATACGTCACATAATGTAACTCATTGTGAACATGCTCTGATAAACCAGTCTCAAGAACCATATTAACCTTGATATGTCCAGCAGACTTGACAGATTACCCTTGAATCTTGTTTCTTCATGCCAGCGGCTGGAACAATGCCTTCTGACCAGGTAATTAGGTGTGGGGTCAATGGAGCTGTTTCAAGATCATATGAAATAAAAACACCATCGCACTGTATCTCAAGCACCACCATCGGTCATTACTAACTCAACTGAAGCAGCTGAAACGCTTCAGACTCATTACAAACTGATGATTTAAGACAGACCTATAATAACTACTGAGCTGCAGGTTCACCCTCGCTCAAGTGAAACACATGTGGTTAGAGTGAGCAGAGCACACGCCTATCTCTCAAAAGAATAAAACCAGAAGCAGAGATGGGCATTGGTGTGAGTGCTTTCATGAATAATAAATCATAAAACAAAAACAGTAGATTGAATACGGGGATATTTATTAACATGATAAACACGTATATACAGGTTGACATGTCAAATGGAAAATATTTGACAAATACGTTATCTTTAAATTTTGACACGGATTAAAGCATTGATTACTGCTCCAAAAACACATGACTTACTGCTTTACTTGATTGTTATATTCCACGGTGCAAAACAAAACAGAATTGCTGGGGATGATCTTGCATTATGTAAACACGCTGTCATACATTTGGTACAATTGGCTCATTTTGCAACTCTATCCCGACAAGCAATGGGCAGGATACTCCCTGGATGGGACACCAGTTCACCGCAAGGCACACGCAAAACCAGACGCCTTCACACCAGGGCCAGTGCTCCCAGAAGCCAGTTAATCTACTAGCGTGTCTTCGGACTGTGGGAGGAAACCGGAGCACCTTGTTTTAAATCTTAAACTGCTCCCTTTGGGGATGAATAAAGAATTTTAAACTGAATTGCATATATATGTTGGTACATTGTATTGATAACAAACTGAACTGCTCAGACAACACAGCGTGGGTTTTTAAAAAGCCATACAGAAATGATTTCTCTTGAGAGGGAGGAGGAATGGAAAGGCTTTGATGCAAACAAACCCCTCCTAGACTTTGTCTACACAAGGCTGGTGGAGTGTGCTCTCTGTAACATCTCCACTGGGTGTAGGGATCTGCTGCCAGGGTAGAGACAAGCTCTCAAGACTACAAGCATGGGCATGGAACCAGCTGAGCCACATGGATGCTAGGAGTGTACACAGGAAAGCAGTATTAATAGTGAATGATACCTGGTGCTCGCTGCTACACTCCCAGTTTGAAAACATACCATCTGGTTACTTTAGAGTACTATAGGTTACAAAAACACATTTTTAAGAAGTCTTTTGTTCAAATTGCCATCACTCTTCTAAACTCTGATATTCAAGCTACTTCAGAGCTCTGTATTGACAGCATATATGTCACACTTGAACATGATGTACTGTATTACACCGCATAATTCACACTGCATCGATTGTATACATCTTGTAGAATCCGCTGGACGATGCATGCATTGCAATTATTACAATGTTTTTATTGTCTCAATGAGGCCGAAGGACATTTTCCGCAAAATGGGGACAATAAACTAGATTCTGATTCTCGGCAAAACCAACATCTTCAACAAACACGTCTGAACGTTATGATGCACGACAGTAACGAAGGGCGTTCTGTTAGTCGGGGGGATCAATTCAGAGCAACAGCATAATATAAAGCAAGGTATAGTTTCTTGTGATTATGAACGTAGCCAAGAAAAGCAGTATAATATCCGCAAAAAAAGAAGCATTCATAATGATCACGGCATTGCAAGAGAAAAAGAGAAAAAGAAAACGAAAGCACAAGAATGAAAGCATTATTACCGCACGCCAAGCATAACCCCAGCGAGAGATGACAACGGCCCGCAGCTGCCGGTGGTCGCCGAGCCCCGCCGAGGTGCGGACGGTGCCGTGATTTACCTTGATCCTCTCCCTGCACTGCGAGGGGGTCCTCTCGTAGCCCAGCTCCGCCAGGGCCCTGGAGACCCGCTCGTACATGGCCGGCCCGGGCGCCTTCCCGGAGAACACCGTGCCGGCGCCCTCCAGCTGCTGCATCCGCGCCTCCGCCAGCCGCTCGTTGCCCCACACGGCGATCAGCGCGTTGGTTTCGGAAGGGGTCCACGACATGCCGCGGCAGGCGGGAAAGCTATTGGAAGCCGAGGCCGAACTGCCACGGCCTGCGCTGCCCGAACCCGATATCCCCACATTGAGCGGGGAAAAACGGTTCGGGGTCGACGGGTTGGAATGGTATTGGTTGCTGTCGCTCAGATCCCCCGACTCGGGAGAGGGAACTTCGGTTTTGGGTATCTTTAATGGCATTGATATTTCGGGCGAATGATCAGCGTTACTGGGCGCCGCCATCTTGATTCTGTTGCTAAGGGGAGGGGGAGGGGACTTGACGTCTTCGGGGGAGGGGTCTAAGTATGGTGCATCTTGGGATACTGTGGGGCAAAAAGCAGCACATCCAAGAGGTGCGCTGCTATCGCCATCTTTGTGAGGGGAATAGAACCTGCAGCACGCAGTTTTTCTAATTATCATAAGTACTAAATGTATTTTAAATGAAGGAATACTAATTTTGTTAAAGGCTTAAACCTTTACGAGAAATTACATTTTAGAAAAACGAATAGTGGGAAAACTGTTGACTCGTTTATTTCTGTTGACTTATTTATATATTATTTGTGCAAACGTGCATTTAAACGTCCGTGTTTACGCAGTCGAGGACCAAAAGTAATGTACAGTATGCTATCGCTTATAAATAGTTTTATCAAACATTATACTCTTGTAGTGGCATAATATTTGTAGGTAAGTACTCAAGACTAAACAATTATTTCTTCAGCAGTAACTTTTGGTTTTTGGTTGGTGGCGACATTGGGTTTATAAATAACCGTAATAATTGAAGTTCAAGTAGGGAGCTGCGTCAGCATCCGTAGGCTGCAGAGGAACAGGTAACGGATTTATTCCAGCTGAAAAGAGAAGAAAAACACAACGTTTCGGCCGTGGTGTCTTCTTCAAGTGCCTTCTCCACGTTGCGTCTATTCTTTTCCTTCCAGCATGGAAAATAACCTTGTTCCATAAATATATATTTTCTTAAAATATATAGCTTTCTTGACTGCAGGTTCTGAAGAGACTTTTGCAACAGGTGCTCTATTGATGATGTGCTGGTTGTACTTTTATTTAATTAAAATTAATGTCATTATTCTTTGTACCTTGTTCATTTTTTTACTTAACATTTTAATGTTAGCATAGCGTAGCAAGTTAAAACTCGACAGTTACAGCATTCCTGTTAATTGAAAATCGCGCATTGTGTCGTCTACTTCACTAGAGTTCCCACTAGGCGGCGACACGTGCTGTAACAACAAAGCGTCTTCTGCATGAGCAGGCGATTCCAGTGTTGAGCTACTGTAGGAGTGATCTTGAAAATGTGATTTTGGGAGCGCAGGTAAAAAGTAATTGAGCAAATCTGGAAGCCCTTACCAGGATATCCTAAGAAATACATCACAGGATATACCTTATATATGCATTATTATTGCAATCTATATTTTAAACAGGAATCGCAGCATTGGTCAAATTATGACAGCTTCATTTTCCTAAATGAAAATCGGATTATTATTTTTTTGCTCACGTGCATCATAATACATTTTTTTCACTCCAATAATTTTTTTTTGTTGCTCTCTACTGTCTCATAGTTACTTTCAACCCTCCTCTCGCAGTGCTGGGATCCTGGGTTCAGTTCCAGCCTTGAGGTGCTGTCTGTGTGGAGTCTGCATGTTCTCCCCCTGCTTGTGTGGGTTTTTTGGGGGCTCTGGTTTCCTCCCACAGTCCAAAGACATGCCGGTTAATTGGCTTCTGGGGAAACTGGCCCCGGTGTGAGTGTGTGTGTCTGTGATAGCCGGGCGTCCCATCCAGGGTGTTCCCTGCCTTGCGCCTGGTGCTTGCTGGGACAGGCTCTGGCTCATCTGGATTGTCTGTGACCCTGAAGTGGGAGAAGTGGTTAGGAAATGGATGTAGGTGGGCTGGACATGCTGTCCCCATTCCCCCTAGTTAAATCTTTTTTTGCCCCCTCTAGATCGTTGTCCTGAAGGCAGCCGAGCAGCAGCTTCACCTTTTGGCCCAATTGGTGCGGCCGGCTCCACGCCAGGCATTTCAGGTTGCTCGTGTCCTTAGATTGGATGGGAGTGCCTTCGGAGAGAAGATCAGGGTTCCCCCCTCCCGCTGTAACCCCCCCCTTTCCCCCAGCAGCACAGACAAAGGTAAAGCTCTCATACCTTAACTTGAGATCTATTAGGTTGAGAGTTGGTTCCCCCCCTCATCGCATGTCCGTCCTTATTTAAGAAAAGGATGAACTGCTGAAGACAGCAGTAGAAGAGCTGCATTGGAAACGTGCAGGTATAATAGAGTCCCGTGAAAGCTGTGGAGAGTGAAACCTCAGGACTGCTGGGCTAATCGGGTTCTGGTGTGAGGGTGTGCGTGTTTGATGTCCTATCCAGGGTTTATCCTGCCTTGCGCCCATTGCTTGCCAGGAGGGGGTCTGGATCCCCACTACGCTGAAGGTCCCTTTAAACTGACTAGGTGGTGAGTTTGAAACGGATAAAGTGGCTAAGGTTACAGGGGGATGATGTGGTTTTAACCACTTTCTCTCCCCACAACTTTATTCACATTTAAAAGCTGGTTGCTTTAGAGTACTTAAGGTTACAGAAGCATTTTTAGGAAGTCATTTGTTCCAAGTGCCCTTACTTTTCTAACCTCTGACACACAAGCACCATCAGAGCGCTATGTTGACAGCATACAGGTATAGAAAGCCACCACCCCCTTTCAAAATGTTTACTTTTTGGGCTTTAGGGCAACAAAAGGAAGACAAATAACTTTTTCCAGTTTTATTTACAAATTGTACCTTGCAACATCCAAGTGAAAAAAGAAAGCTACTTTTTTTCAGACATTTTGAATAACTGGGTTGGATAAGAGAATACCCCCCTGAGTTAATACTTGGTGCTTGAATTAGTGTTGAGTCTATTTGGATAGATCTCTACCAACTTTGCACACCTAGAGGGAGGAATATTTGCTCATTCCCCCTTACGGAATAGTTCAGGCTCAGTCAAACTGCGTGGTGACCGTTGATAGACTGCCCTCTTCACTCCACTTCTTCCCACAGCTTTATCTCAAAGTTCTTTTGAAAGTACCTTTCCACCCATAGTGGATTCTTTGCTTTGAAATGCACTTCCAAGCAGTGCAGTCCTCTAGAAACAGCTGCTTTTATTCTGAACTAATCAAAATCACCACAGTTGATCACAGCTGGGAGCCAGTTAGTTTGTTGTGTGATTTGTAAGGTGGTTGGTTATACCTGAACAAGTTTACATATGCAATTGTAAGGGGGTTGTTCACTTATCCAAATAAGGTATTTTGCTGTTATAATATTAATTTTCAGAATGTTTTAGAATTTTATTTTCAGTTGGCTAATGTGGTTTGCTGTGTGTAAATAAAAATGTAACAAGCCTAATTTAAGTTGTTTTTATTTTCAGAGTGTCATACGACCAAAGGTACACATTTTGAAAGGGGGTGGTGACTTTCTATACCCTCTGTATACAGTCTGTCACACTTGAACGTTATGTGTTTTGTACTGTATTACATTGCATAATTCACATTGCTTCAATTGTATACATCTAGTAAAATCCACAATGTTTTGTCTCAATGAGGTCAAAGGAAATGTTCCACTAGGATCTGCTTCTCGGCTACACCAGCATCTACAACAAAATAAGTCTGAATGTTTTGCTACACGACAGTAACGAAGTCCAGCCACCCACTCCGTTTTTAGAAATGGACTGGATGGCAGGATGGAGTCTCGAAAAGTGTTTGTGAGGCAGCAGCATGGTGGGCTTGATGAGAAGGGCAGCTGCTTCACAGCTTCAGAGCCCCGAGTTTGATTCTGGCCTTGGGCTCTGTAATCTGCTTTCCCCCCGCCTCCCAGGGGCCCACAGGATATGTTTGATTAGCTCCTTTAACAGGGCCCTCCCATGGTCCTTGTGAGACAGTGAGCCATGAGCTGGTACACCTCGCCGTACCACGCTGCCTTCTCAGGAGTCACTGTCCTGCGCTTGGAGTGGAGCTTTTTTTGGGTGGGGGGGAGGGAGCGGGAAGAGATTTTCGGGATTAAAAAAATTTGAAAGACTTTTAAAACAAAAAATAGCCAGCCTGGTATTTGTATGTGGCCCTGAAAAATGAATTGTAGTACGTCAAGCACAGTGAAATCAAGCCACACCTCAGAAACGAGTGCCAGGTGTGCATTATCTGCATACAGAAAAGTATCATAAAAATAATGTCAGAACATGGTAAATCATGGAACACTTCTATCTTAGCCTGCCAATTTGCCTTGTAACATTGTGTAAACAGATTTTCTAGGAGGTTAATTAGGCTGTCTTTTATGTGATTTCTAATGATGTAGAGGTGCTGTGTTTGCGTTTTTGGCAGGCAGCAGTATGAATCAGACTGCACATGGAGAATCTGACAAGAAACAAACATGTAATTGAAGTTAATAAATCATTATAAAAGTGGAAACTGAATGTGTGTAAAGGCAGTGCACCGTGCAAAGATTCCTGGCTTAACAGTCCTAACATTTTATAGCTGGGGCAGGACAACCTTCGTTGTAGTCATCAACACAATGTTAGCACATTTTCATTACCCTACTCCCATGCATTGATAGTTCTGCTCATGAGCTCTTGTTGTGAAAAACATGAGGCCTGCCCCAACAATGTGGCAATAAAAAATAACTCCAGTGTTCCTGCGTTATGCTGCCGAGTGTTTGCTGCTAATTTAAGTGGCCCTGGTGGAATATTGCTTTGTTAGTGCCAGGGGCCCATCTTTGTTACAGCAGTCCTTAATTAGACACCCAGCAGGAGGCCAGGCCTGATGGACACACAACGCGCTTTGCCAGCTGTCAGCACTGCTCTAGACTAGCGCTGGTCAGTTAGCCTTCCTGTGGCCTGGGGTCATGACCTGGCCAAGGAAACAAAGATATTCTGACCCCATTTTCTTCACTTCGGGGGGGATTTTGACAAGTCCATTTGCAATATGTCCAGTAAAGGTCAGCTGTAGAAAAACGTCTGGGCAGCGACCCTTAATGAAAGGGATCATGAAGAAGTCAGTGTGGCAAAGAGTTTTTTCTTTCTTTGCAGTGGAGGAGATCTAATGCAATAGAGCTGCAAACAGCCACTAAGTTACTGCCACTAAGCTTTGGAACAAATATTTTTGTCTTTTTTTCCCATCTTTGCTTCTGTCAGTTATTTATTTCTACATTTTTTTATTTCTATTTTATTTATTTCAACATTTACATCATAGTGCAAGCTGGTTTGTCTGCAGTAAGAAGCCATTCATTTCAAAGAC